TGCAGCCAGCTAGATGGTTCATTCTAGTCTATGACAGCTACAGAGATAGTGTTGTTAGGTCTGGGGATGTGTCTGCACATGTCTCTCCAAACTTAAAATGTAGGAAGAAAACAAGAATCCTATTAACTTCATATATCTGCCAAACAAAATTTGGTTTTTTGGGTTTTTTGTGGTTTTTTTTTTTTAGTTTTTTTTAACTTGTAAATCAAAATTGAAGGCGTTTTTCAGAGAGGACATGCAAAGTCAGGGCCACTATCAGAGCTTGAGCCTCTGAAAAGAATGCACAGAAATAACAATGGCTTCTGCTCCTGTCTTCCTTTGAGTTAAGTCCCTCTCCAGTCTCTCACAATAGTAGGCAGGGTCTCATGCTGATAGGCGGCAACCAGACCCTTAACATGCTCCTGTTTTCCAGCCTCCGGGGCTGCATGAGGCATCTGCGAGCTCTAAGGAACTGCAGCAGAACAGGATCCACCCAGAAAAGCAGGTGTGCTGTCCCTTGGGAGGTGTTCGAGATTGGTTCTAGGATACCATCTACTGCCCTCTGCTGCCACACAGCAGGGCGCTCAAGTCCCTTCTATAAAACCATAATATTTCCATATAACTTTCACATGGTCTACTGTATGCTTCAATCATCTTCCTATTATTTAACAATACCTAATAATACAATGCTATATGACTAGTGATTACATTGCATTTTTAGAGAATAACAAAACAATGACAAGATAAAGTCTCTATATATTCACTACAGGGTGGTTTTGCCCGAATATGTTGTCTCTTTTGACTGCATTCTGGGATATGGGGCACAGGTTGGAAGGACATTAGTACGTGTGCAAATCATACCTTGCTGGGGACAAAGGGTTGGGGCCAGTAGGATGCTAAATAGCAGTTGACTCTGAGCCCCTTGTCTTTGGGCCATTGGGTTATCTATAGTGCACAGGGAGGGTAAACTGAGGGACGTCACTGTGGGCCATTGAGTCCCCTCAGAGCACCTTAGTTGCACACTGTAGACTATGAAGCTGAAAGGGACGTTATTTGCCCTTTCTCCCCACTTCCCATGTTGGAAGTTTACTTGGAAAAGAGAATACATTGACTTGCTGCTGTCTTCTGGAAGTCTCTGTCTGCCTACAAGAGACAACATTTGTAGGCTGCACATCATGGTGGAGGGCATCAGGTGATGGGACTTAAAAGGGAGTTCAGTGGCTGAGACTTGCATACTGACATTGGGAAATCTGGTCCAAATCTTTGTATATAAAGCACTTGGTATAATATCAGACATAATCGTGTGCTAAATAATTGTACTTGCTGCTGAAGCTGCTGGAAGTACACAGAGGTAATGGACAATGCTCCTTCCGTTGTGCGAGCCACTGGACTCCTGTGGAGCATCTCTGTGAAGATGAACGACTACCCTCCTGCAGATGCTGCCTGTTCACCTTGGGTACTGATGCGTAAATTTCAGAGGTGCTCCTTGTCTTCTGATAGAGGTGACTCATACCCACACGAGGCCCCTGGTGACAGGAAGAATTTGCCAAGTCCCATGCTGGAGCATCTACTGCATCACACCTGAGGAGCCTGCGATTGTGAACAACAGTGACAGACTTGTGTGTGTGCTGGCACTGTGGGGTGACCTGAGATCGCAAACGCTTTGTTTTGTTAGGATTGTCTGATCTGAGTTTTTCTTGTGTTGTAAATATGGAGGTGTGCAAAGAAGTTTTTAACGCTAAAAATGAAGTTTTGAGTAAATATGATCTATCCTCAAACAAAGGCAGCAGGAAGGAGAATGCTAAACTAGGGGATTGAAAGTGATGGGAGGCGAGTTACTGTGGTGAAGTCCCAGAGAGAGCCCCGGGGATGTGTGTAGCTGTTCAAGAAGGATGTTTTGGTATTGTAGAAAAAAACAAGATTAAGTGGAACATTCTAAAGTCAGATCACCAGAAACAGCTCAGCGTTCAGTGTGCAGAGTTTTGCTTATTTCCTCTTGTAGACTTGGAAAGAATATAATACCATTCCTGCACATTGCAGAGAGTCCTAACAGGCACTTTTGTAGACTTTGGAGAGGAGAAAAGACCTTGGAATCGATGCTGATTCATTGGGAAACAAGGTGATGTGTCTGAGGGGCAGTGTCACTGGTGGGCTTATGTCCATGTGCCCAGTACTGCCTTGTTTAAACAGCAGGAAGTGGTTTAAGTGTAAAATTTTAGTGCTAAAGTAGAGAAACGAATATGTTAAAATCAGACATTTGGTTCTAAGTTTCTCGAGAGTCCATTTGTAACTTTCTTTTAACTCCTCGCTCAATGTCTTTCTCTGAAAGACTGTCAGCCGCGCAGAGCACCAACTGTGGGGATATTGGTAGAAATGAGCGTTGTCTGTGAAAGTGGCTGAGCACCATAATAGAGGCCTGGATCATGTGCGTTGTTTATGTCTCGTGTCACAAATGCGGATTGGACCATCTATTCTGAGCCCGAGTGCCTGGTGCTGCACTGGATGATGCACTGTGTTAAGAGGTCTCCCAATGCATGAGCATCAGTTTCCAGCATCGACCTCAGCTCTCAGAGCTGGTGAGGTCCCAAAGCCCAGACAGTGCCGTCTCTAGGGAATAGCTAGGTTTGCTAACAGCAGTAACGTGGAGGGTGACTCAGCTGTCCGGATGCCGGTCCCCCAAAGAATTTATTAAGGCAGTGGTCAATAGATGGAATCTTTGCACCATTATGTATAAATGGGATGTGGCGTGGTCTAAAAATTCATGTGCATGTCTAGTGCCTTTATTTTTCTGAAATATTCTTTTAGTGTTGTGATTTTTGTCTTCAGTCCTTCCACAGTGAGGACACAGTTGTCCTCACCGTGGGATGATTTCCAAGTTGGTGTTTCTTTGCTTTGAGTACACAAAAGAATGACCTGGGAGCTTTAAAATATAAACCAAAGAAAATAAAACAATTTGAAAGCACAAACCCAATGGCGCCTGAAGTCTTCCGGAGACCAACTAATGTCTGGCCCCAGCTCTTGGTTGAGAACTGAAGTCCTGGGAAGGACTTAGTTCTGCCTTCGGGGTGTGGTAGAGCCACAATGGTCTGCAGATTGGCAAGCTCCCACACCTGCTAGGTAGCCTTCTCGAGACATCTCACCCTCCAGTGGAGAGGAGGAGGTGCCAGAGCTGTCAGCACGCGGGCATGCTGTCTGTGCAGCATGCTTGGAAAACCACCACCCCTGCAGCGCCAGTCCCGGGTTGGGGGGAGGGGCTAACTTTCTGGTGCTTGGTGTGCTTTGGACATCCTGGCCTGATGACATCCCAGAGGCAGCCACCATGTTTGTGATAGTCAAGCATAGAGAAGTTTGGGACTTTATAAAGTGTGGTCATGGTGCTGTTCCCTTTGACTGGGACTATGCTTCCCACTGTCCCTCCATGCTGTTCATGCTCGTTTCCACCTCACTGCTCCTCTCCCTGCATGCCTCAACCTTTTTAACTTGAACAGTGACGATGGCGGTACAGCAGCTGGGCCAGCAGTCCGGGCAGCAGCAGATTCTCAAGTCTCCTCTTTGCCAGTGCCTTGTGGACCCAGATCCTGTGGAAAGACAGTTAGTAGGTTGCCAGGTCCAATAGCAGATGATTATTGTCACTGGCAAATACTTGGCCACAGCAACTTAAATAATTTCTTATTCTGTTTATACATGAGGGGGCAGTATGACACTATAAAGCAAATGCAGTGTTAAATAAGCTTATTTTTATTGGTATATAATAATTTTTAGGTGAGAATCTCTAGGGTTCTTAATTAAAACCCTTTCACTTTCAGTTTTTCTGAGTGACACACACACACACACACACACACACACACACACACACACGCGCGCGCGCGCGCATCATGTGCTTGATTCTGTTCCAATGAATAAGTAATTAATTGCAATACCTTTTCTTGTGAGTTTACGTTTGTGTTCTTTTTTTCCCTGGTTTTTTGAGACAAGTTTCTCTGTGTAACTTGGAGCCTACCCTGAAACTCACTCTGTAGACCAGGCTGGCCTCGAACTCACAGAGATCCGCCTGCCTCTGCCTCCCGAGTCTGGGATTAAAGGCATGCACCACCACCACCTGGCTACATTTGTGGTGTTTTAATGCTAGGTGCTTGTTTCTTGTCTCCACTGGAGGAATGTGCCAGTCCTCTGTGGGTACGGTGTCTGTCAGGCTGATGTCTCTAATTTTTATTTCATGGCTTCATTGAAGGCTGGAGTCACTTAGGCTGAGGGGAACCTTTCACCTCGGGTCTTGGTGGCCAAGGGACGTCTGTGATGAATCACTGCAGTGTGATATGCTTCTCTGTGTGACACACATATTACTTTTTTCCAAAGAAAACAAATTGCTAAGCAAAGAAGCAGCGCATTTTAATTAATGTTATCATTCCTGATATATGAATGGCACTGTAGATAAATCATGGTGGTGGTGTTCTGGGCCAGAAGTAGGAGAGAAAATTATTAAGAGGGTTGGAACATAGTAAATGAATTGATGAAATCTATAAAACATTAAATAAGAAAATTATGAAGACTGTAAATCAGAATCCAGACAGGTGATTTCATAGACACAGGCTATTTTTTAAACCTATAAAAAATGTTTGTAAATGGATGTTTATGTTGTTGGGGAAAAATTAGTCTGACAGTTTGTCATAAGAATAACTGTCTTTGAAACCTAAGGGGTTCTTGATGCCTTTATACTGATCCCGGCTCCTCTCCTTGTGCATGAAGAGCCACGATTGTCTGCCCCAATGGTGGAAACCATTATATTTGTTTACTTTAAGAAAAAATTATTTGAAATATAATGTGCTGTTTTAATTTTAGTGAGATGCTTTATTTTGAAATCTTGTGTTAAAAACTTTTTTTTTTAATGTTAAATTCAGAGGACTGGATTTTGGCTCTGGTCTGTCATGAATGAACCCAAATCTAACGTGACTGGGTTCTGGTTTGCTGTAACAACACACATTTCACTCATGGACACCCGTTGTGCTTATCCCCAATGGCAGATATTTCGGACCTCGCCTGATGCTGCCCTCCCTGAGCCCACCTGCCTGTCGGCATCGCCTCCAAACGCTCCGCCGCGACAGTCAAAGAGGCAGGGGCAGAGGACCAAGAGGCCGGTGGCTGTGTATAATCTTTGTCTCGAGCTGGAAGATGGTAAGATGTTGATTGTTCTGCTGCTGGCGTGCTGACGGCGCAGCATGTCACCCACCCTCGGCGCGGGCCCCAATGTTTTAGTCTCTGTATTCTTATTTCTGTCTCCCCTAAATTGTAATGTTTTAGATTAGCAAGGAGGTTGACGTTTTCTGGTCAGAGAGAAAAATGCAAGTTTCTGTTTTGTGTTTGTTTCTGTTATGCACAGTTCTTTTTTGGGAGACTTGTGTGACCTGTGAGGTTACATAACCCCGAGACACATGGAACTAAAATTAAAGCAGATCTTTGATGTGAGTGAGGAGCTGGTGGAGCCAATCCACTGCTAATGCGTCTGGATTAAAGGCACAGGTTACTGTTGTGGGGCTTGGGCTTCTGCGCTGTGGTGAACCCGGTGGACTGAAGCCCTCAAAGAGCAGAGCTCCAAGTCACCGCCACAGCTGGGAGCGGCCCGTTGACCTGCCTTTGAAGTAAGGCTGCACAAACTGGGGCCAGTGGGTTGGGGCAGATGGTGATTCTCATGCCCCGTCCAAACTGTCGTTGCCAACCGGCTCTCACCTCATAGCCTTGTGTGAATTTTTAGGTCAGAACCAAGACTGCGAGCTCTACAAGGGCTGGTTGGTGATTTGTAGTCACATGGTTCTTGTGAGGAAAACAAGGCGATGTGGTGTCCAAGCTGCATTTTTGCCTGCGCATTTCCTCCTGTTGAGTCAGTTTACCAAATTTAAGGTTATTCTTGACTTCTCTTCTTTTCTTGCCGTGAACCCTTAAGTTCTGGTTATGGTTATGTTGTCGGGGACCAAATTATAATACCTTCATCATGAATACACATTTAAGAGAAGAGTGTCTGCTGATTCATGCAGGGAAGTGGCAACTGTCCTCAAGTGACTGGGGGTACATGCAGAAAGACCCACAATACTCCAGTAACAAAACTAGGTGTGGTGTTCTTTGTTTCTTTCTGGACTGCTTGCTGTGTGCACATGTGTCAGAAATAAGATCAGATATTATTTTCCTGTTTCTCAGAGAAAAGCATGAGTCACGAATATCAGTTTCTGATTGGAGTGTGTGTGTGTGTGTGTGTGTGTGTGTGTGTGTGTGTGTGTGTTTAGGTCAGAGGTCTCTACAGTCTATCTTTTGGGGAGGCTCTTGTTGAACTTGGGACACATTGATTGGTTCTGCCCAGTGTTAGGGTTACAGGCCTATGTGACCACGCTGAGCTTGGTGATGTGGAAGGCTCACCCCAGTCTCCCCGCCTGGCTTGCTCAGCGGGTATGCTCCTGATGGGACCTTCTCTCCAGCTCCCAGAACTTCTCTTCAGACTTCTTTCCACTTGTGATCCCAGCTAACATTTTTCTCTTCTCACTTTCTTTGTCAACGGAGCTGCTAATAAGGAGTAAAACTGCCTGGTTTGAGTCTCACCTTCTCCCCCAGCTCACCTGTCCTCTGCTAGAAGTGTTAATAAACAGTGAAACAAGCCAATGCCAGAAAGGAGGAGGGGAGAAAGAAATACTCACAAGACAACTAGATGTCTGAAGGCCTGCAAGGGAACCAGAGCTGTTTCACGGTGGAGGTGATCAAAGTCAGCCGTTTGTCTGTAATCACAGCTACATTCTGTTAGTCTTAGGAATAAAATTTTATCTTAACAAATCTATGAAGTTGCTACCTTTCTGTGCAAAGTTTCTAAATGATTGTTAATGACTGAGAAGTGTCTCTTAGCAGTATCCTCATTTTTTATGGAAAACTCAAGATGGCATATGGAGTATATTTACTCCTAAGCTTTAGGAAATATTTTTATTCTCAATGTCAGGCAAATGCTTTGCCATCAAACTGTGATCACTCCTGATGTTATACTTCTTAAATGTTACTTAATTTTTAGGAAAAAATATCAATTATGCATTTCCTTTATATGTTTGTTGTTTCATGTTTCATTCATGTTATTTTACTGTTCTTTGTTTTATAACTCTGTTCTTTCTTTTGGTGACAACCTTGACTTTCTTTTTTAAACCAACCAACTTTTCTTCCTTTCTTCATTAATTGAAAATAGATTTTTTTAATGTAATATATTCTTATTTCAGGTTCCTTTTCTCTAAACACCTCCCAGATCCTCCCCACTTCACATCCACCCAAATCCACACCCTTTCTCGCTCTCATTAGATTACAAACAGGCCTTGAAAAAATAATAATACTAAAATAAAATAAGATGAAATAAAACCAAACAAACCAGAATAGGACAAAATGTGGGAAGAAAGAGCCAAAGAAATAGTACAAAAACATACACACAGAAAACCAATAAAAACAAAATTGTAACCATGACATACAAGCACAAGCACAAGCTGTGAGGTTAAAAACAAAAAAGCCCAGACAGCATGGTGAGACAAAACCCCCTCCCCAGACACATTGTGCTGGCCGCCTCCTGCTGGGCTTCTGGGAGGGGAGAGGTGATATGGCGGATGCAGTCAGCACTCATCATAGTGCTCTGCTCCTTTAGCAGAACAGTATTTGGTTTTTCCTAGGTCCATGGTCCGTCTAGTCTCAGGCCAACCTTGATTTTTTTGTTCCTTTGTTTTAAATTAAGCATGTTTCAGTGTTTTTGTTTGAGTGCACATCCATACCCGACATGTGTACAGTGCCCGTGGAGGTTAGCAGAGGGCATCGGGTCCCCTGGCCCTGGGGCTACAGATGCTGTGAGCTACCACGTGTGTCCTGGGGACTGAACCTGTGTCCTCTGAAAGCCGTCAGTGCTCTTAACCACTTCTTTAGCCATTCTTTGGTTCAGGGGCATCTGGGTTGTTTCCAGGTCTGGCTATTATGAATAATGCTGCTATGAATATAGTTGAGGAAATGTCCTTGTGGTGGGAGTGTGTATCCTTTTGGTACATTGTTGGGTCTTGAGGTACATTGAGTCCCAGTTTTCTGAGAATTCACCATCCTGATTTCCAGAGTCGCTGTACAAGATTGCAGTATTATATCTTCTGAAATGCTTGCCTTACAGAATGCTCATTGCTCACTTTCCCGTGGCCTTTAGTAATCTCTTGAACTTCTAAACTGCATCAGTTTGGCTGAGTCTGTTAATGAAGTAGTGGAGTCTGAAGCAGACTGCTCCGTGCTTTGCTCCGTGTTTTCTCCATGTTTGCTTCAATTTCATTCTCATTATCCCATATTTTTATGTCCTTGGAACTAGTAAAGTAACTAAGGCTGTGGGGCACGGTTCGCATTCTCCAGCTCCCCTGGATTCGTGTCCATGATCCCTCTTTATGAAGAGGGCTGCTGGGTTTTCTGTAATTTCCTCTAACGTGGAGGGAAGTTTGTGGGCCTGTTACAGATGACAGTGACCTCTCTTATTTTCCTTTCAAGGCAGGAAAAGACTACAAGTAGTGATTTGAAGAATGAGGAGAGGCTCACCATCTGAGTCCTGGCTGAACCCTTCCTCCCTTCACACAGCTTTAATTTTAAACAGAACTAGACGCTTATGAGACTAGTTGTTATGTGCATCTTCCTGAATATAATTAGATATTCTGTGCCTGTCTTCTGTGCATGATATAGCAGTTTACTTCTTTAGGCAAGTTAAAAATATGATTTGATACGGGTTGAAGATAGCATCATCTGGCAAGCCAATTGGCAGGATATGATATTCTCTATTGTTGGTCTTCCTTGGGCACCATTGGCTTGGCACTTGTAACATTTGGGTGAGAAGCGTGTTAGCTGCGGCCCATGTTGTTGAACATGTGTTACTGTGGTCCTGCAGCAGGGTGGAAGGAAGCAAAGGGGATGAGTGTGCACTGTTGAGGGAGAGGCAGATAGAGGGGGAGGCCATGTCGAGGTCCCTTCAGCCTTCATTCGGTGTCACGTGCCAGCAATGAACACTTGAAGTGATGATGGGTATGAATTTAACCAGCTTCAGTAGATTAAGAGAATTTATTTTGATTTGGAGGTATAAGCAAGAAAAACAAACACGTGAGAGTAGGTTTCTGTGTGGTCTTCTAAGTGTAGATTTTGCAGGGTGAACTCAGAGCCTTAAATATGGTTGGCAAATATTCTGTAATATCTCAGCATATGTAGAATTTTTTAAATCCTAAAATAGTGAACCTTAATAACTGTTGAGTTTTCTGCCATTGCCCTTCGTTGGGGGTTTAATGTCAATGGATGCTAGAATTGGAATTATGTCACACTGCTGACAAAGAACTTCTGTAAAATCTTTGTCGTGTGTGCTTCCTACACGCCAGGCTGATTTCTCAGTTTGCACAGTGAGGTACTGGTTTATCTGCCGCTGAGTATGATGGACATGGTTGCTGGCTTATGTTACATGGTAGCGACTACTCAGACCAGCCTCACTGTTCCTCCTAAGTAGTGATCTTCGAGCCAGAGTTCTTCCAGCAAGGAGGCTGTGGCCAAAGGGTGGGAAGAGCGCTGATCAGCTGTCGGCAGAGAGAGGAGTGTGCCCCTGGAAAGTCGTGGAGGGAGGGAGAAGTGTCAAGTACCAAAGTGCTGTGTGTTTGTAGAGAAGGAGTAGTCTTCGTACTCATAAAGAAGACAAAACTCACTTTTTTTTCTAAGTGCATTTTAAAGTTTTAATTAAAATAGAATTAATTATCCTACCCCTTGTATATATTCCCCTCCTCCCAAATTCGCGGAACCCTCTACTTTGTAAGCATATTGTTCTATATGCATATAAGGGAGTAAATATGAAAGCGTGACCTAGTAAATCCATTCAGAGTTGCCTGCATGTGTGTTTCTAAGGCCAGCCCCTTGGCACTGGAACACAGTTGGGGGGCTTGTCACTAGAGAAGAGTAATTCTCCCTTTCTCAGCAGTAGTTAATTACTTACAGCTTTTCATGTTGGGGTGAGGCCCCGTGGGATTTCCTCCACCTGTATTGTCTTGTCAGCTGGGACTGAACAGAACTCATTTTCCTCTGCCTTTTACTTGTCCATTTTGATCCATAGGTTCATCCCAGAGCAGGGAGGCCACCACCACACAAACAGGCCGAGGATACCTGGTTGATACTTG